TAGCTGAGGTGGGACCCAAATGCTCTCCTAGCGGGGAAACTGAGGCCGGTGGAGCAGGGAAGGGTGGAAAGGGCCGAGACCGGGAGGGGCGGGGGCCGGGGAAGGACTCGAGGCTCCTGTCCTTCGGCCAGTGGCCAGTGGTGCGAGGATCCTAGCTAACGGAGTTCTCAACTCCCCTCTTCACCCAGGTCTTCTTTCCCCTCTGCTCAGCCAGCCTCCTGCTCCCCACCGATCCTTTCCTCCCTCCCTCCTTTCCTTCTTCTCCTCCATCTATTCGGGCACCCTTCCTCCCATTTCTTTCTTCTCCTGTCCCTCTGTCTGTTACTTCGCCTGTCCCCTTCCAGCCTCTGCCCCCTCCATCCCTCCCACTCACCCCACCCCCCACGTCTCTCCTCCCTCACCCACCATTCTGCTCTTCCTTCTTTGCTTCCCGCTACCCAGCTCTGGGGTCACCTGCTCCCTGATGCCGTCATTCCACGTTTCACGGGCACTTCAGTGCAGGTCTTTTCCCTGGTGCTGGGATCCCAGATAGCTTTCCCCCCACCCCAACTGCCCCACCCCCGGGCTGCACTAGCAGCTCACCCAGCGGCAGAAATAGCACTATGGCTGTGTGTGGGAGCACCGAGTGCCCGTGTGCCCGGCCAGCACTTTGGTCTCAAGACCCCAGCTTGACGTGTTACCCTCCGGGTGGGCAATGGCAGGGAAGAGAGCACAAAGTCTCAGCCAGCAGGTGCAAGGTCTCTTGCTTCATGCGCACACTCTGCTGTAGCCAGCTCCTGAGCCAGGGACACAGATGCAGAGACACGAAGAGGGCATCAGTGTGGTGGCAAGAGGCCATCAGGTCATCTCTGGCTAGGTGTTGACTTTGCCCCTTTCTTACTGCGTGTCTTTGGGCAGTTACACGAGGCTCAACTTACTCGTCAAAAACTGGAAATGGCAGGTGTGTTATAGCCGCCACGTTTAAGGTTAAGGAACACGCAAAATGCCAAGCGCTCCACTGGGCAGCCACCTGAATCAGCACTAGGTGAGAGGTGGGGGCTTGAACCCCCATCCTGGCTTCACCACGTCACACGCCACGTCTCTGGTTGTCTTTCCATGCACAAAGCCCAGCCTCTCCTCTCCCACCAGCAGGCTGCGGGGGATCCTATCCAGCCCCAGCTGGCTGGTGTCTTGCAGAGCTGGGTGAAGAGGGGAGAAGCAGTTTATCACAAAACTGCCATGAGTTGACTGTGCTCTCCTCCATCTGCCCAAACTCAGATGCTGACGTTCTAACATCATCTTGGGAAGTGCTGGAGACGGTCACTGCAGTTGTAAAGAGGTCAGATTGGAGCAGGGCCCTGATTAATGCAACTGGTCTTCTGATAAAAAGGGGAAATCAGGGCACAGATGTACATAGGGAGTTTGGCTGCCAAAAGCCAAGGAATTGCTAGAAGCTACGTCAGAGGTGACGGACAGGCCCTTCCTAGGGCCAGCTTGAAGGGGCATGTTTGTGGCCATCATGGCCACGTGAGCAAGGCATCCCACCACCATGTGCTCTTCTGTGTTTGCAGAGGACTCAGAAGGCAGCAGGGACCCAACTAAGATCCACTTAGCAGAGCTCTGGGCATTGCCATGTCCCTGGGTCCAGCATGCAAACGGCCCCAATCCGGAGCTGCTGGAGCCTTCTCAAGCTGCTTCTTTTTTTTTCCACACATGCATACATTTTTTTTTTTTAAAGATTTATTTATTTGTTCATACAGAACTGGGGTACAGGCCAGAGGCTCAGGGGTGGCAAGAGGCTTCACCAGAGACAGAGTGGGGAGCAGAAACAGGCAGATCTACGAAGTACACTGCTGAGGGGAGCAGCGGGCGGGTCAGGAGAGGTCTGCCACGCCATGTGGTCACCTCCGGGGCAGGCGGGAGTCGAACTCATGAGGAAGTGGCTTTAGCTTCTCAGTGCTGTGCATTTACCCGCTGCGCCACCAGGGAGGGCCACATGCATACATTTTTATTTATGCACACATCAGTGTAATCACCACCCAGCTCAAGATACAGAACTTTCCAGCACTCATGTCCCTCTGCCTCTCCCCCACATGGTAACCATCACCAACAAAAGTTTTGCCTATTCTTGAACTTCGTGTCAATGGGACTACACAGTATTGCGCTATCTGTCTGGTGTCTTTCACTCACCATTGTTAGGGTCCCGCCTCATGTGGCTACAGCTGTAGCTCATTCTTTTCAAGTGGGCATCTCGTGGCCACTGTCCAAGTATCACTTCTTGTCCATTCTACCATGGAGGGACATTTGGGTCTGAGTTTCTTTAGGAGTAACTGCTATCAACTTTTTTGTAGATATTTTATTGAAGATTCCCCAAAGATACACATTTCTCCTGGAGTAGAACTGCAGGGTCACTGAGAGGCTTATGTTTTACTTTGGTAGAAGGTGCCACTCAGCCTTCCAGAGGGGCTGGGCCAGCTTATGCAACCCCCAACCCTCCTGCCCCCCACCCCAGGTAATATACAAGAGTCCGATAGCTCTGTATCTTGCTGGCTGCTCCTCTTAGCCATTCTGATCCGTGGTTTGTGGCCTCTCACTGTGGTTTTAATTTGCATTTCCTTGATGGGCAAGATTGTCAAGCACCTTTTGATACTCTTATGTCTATTTGTACTTAGTTGAGTCTTTTGCCTGTTTTTTGAAATAGGGATTCTTTTCTTTGGATTGGGAGTTCTTCATATATTCTGGATATGAGTCTTTATAATAGTTTTATCTCACCCCAAACTCTCATGCCTGAGCAGAGGATTCCGTCTGGACTGGGCTCCCAAGCAGACTCTGGCTCAGTTAGGTTGAGCAGGGGTGAGGTGATGGAGGTGAGGTTATCATGGCTTCTTCCTCCAAGATGAGCTGATAGTGACTCCACATCTTGTCTCTGCACCGGGATGGCGGGGAGCAGGGCCAGGGCAGAAACAGCTCACCATGAAGATGGACGCTCACTGCTTTTTGTGTGTGTCTGCCACGTGGCAGGTTCTGGGGACCCAGAGGTGGTTAGGACGCCAGCCTCTGCCAGGAGCCCACAGTCAAGGAAGAGTCAGACAAGGAAGAGTCAGACAAGGAAGAGTCAGACAAGGAAGAGTCAGACAAGGAGCAAGGAAGTGTGGCCGCGTGCTGAGTGCAGTACATGCTAAGTGCCCTCTCTATAAAGAGGAGGTGTGGTCAGGACGCCATGGGGCTAAGACTGGAAGTTCCCAGCTCTTGGTAGGCTTCACCGAGCAGCCAACACCATTTGAGCGGCACCTTGGTGGATGAGCAGAAACAACAGGCAGAGGGTAGCAAGAGGTACGTCCCATTGGGGGCTTGGTGTAGGACTTCCCAGCCAGTGACAATCTGGTGGGGCGAGAGCAGGGCTCGTGGAGACAGGGCAGGAGCATCAGGGTAGGCCCAGGGATAGCACAGCCTTCCTCCCTCAGCCTCGGGGGAGCTCTGGTGTCCAGGCCCTCCAGCTTTCCAAGGCTCCCCCCCCCCTTGGGGCCATGGTGTACTCCGTGAGCGATTCTTCATAGGATGCTCTTTCTGTTTTTGTGATTCCTTCTTCTAGTTAACTGTCTGCAAAACAGAGTGTGCTGTCTGACCCTGTAGGGTGCTCAGAGTAGGCGAAGTCCATCCCCCCTTACCTGAGACCACTTCTCTAAGAAAGGGCAGTCTTTGATCTTATGTCGTCTTTCTTCTGGAGTTGGGACCTAGTGAGTAGACGAGGGACATGGGGTTCTCGATGCCCAGATGTCTGGGCCAGGCAGGGCAGGAGCTTGGGGCAGAAGGGTGGGCACTTCTCAATGGGTGTCCAGGGTCTGAGTGGGCTGGTGCTCCTGGAAGGTGAAAGGGGTGACCAAGGCATACCTGAGGGACTTGGCCCACTGGAGGAAGCTTCTGGTCTTGGTGATCTCCTGGGCCAATCTCCTTAAGTCATCTCCTTCAAAGAGGGGCAACACAGGGTCCTTGAATAGGAGAAATAAAGCTAAACGACTGACGGGCACCTGAAGCCTCAAGAGAACTGTAGCGTTACTGAGTGCAGCTGCCACCCAGCTAGTGCAGGGAACCTGTGGGCTCATTTGTCTGTCACCAGGGACGGGGGCGCTCACCGCCTACTAAGGTGCTCATTTCACAAATGGGACACCTCGAAATAAGACGTCTGAGGTGAACCCCCGTAACTGCTGTGGGTAAAGCTCTTTCAGTCTTTTATTTAAGAGGGGAAAATCAAGACGGTCAGTGGGACTTCACTGAAGTCAGCCCCTCCCGTGGGGGCTGTAGAACATGAGTGACGTGTGCCCGCCTCACTGTTATCCTGTCAAGCATATCATCAATTCAGCCCTTTCCGTAAAATGGAGCTTTGTTCTGACGCCCACCAGTGCCATGCCAGAGCCTAAACTTACAAGTTCTCACAACTAGCTGGAGAATCTGAGAAAGACACGGAGCTAAGCTGCCCCTGCCCCTGGCGGCTTCCGTCCTCCCACCCTGCATGGGGGATCTGCTCAAAGAATCTCATTCAGTAGGTGACTCAGTGAGAACCTTCACAATGGCCTGTTTTCCTGTGTTTAAGGACAGAAGTGAACATTAATTAGTTACTTCTCCTTGCGCTGCGCCTTGTCCAACTGTCCTGTTTGTCATCGAAAGAGGCAGTTGAACAGAGGAGCCAGGCCCGGCGTTCCATTTCGACATCTATGTCCTGCGACAGTGGTGGGCCAACAGTGGCCACTCCCTGGGTGACCTGGTGACCTGCCTGTGATAATGGAGGCACCACCCTCCTAAAAGGTGTGTGTGTGTGTGTGCGCGCAGGTGTGCACGTATGTGGGTTATCTAGCCGAGCAGAAGCGCTCACGGGTGCCTTTCCTCTCCCCCTACCACTGTGACGGGGCCTGTAACTTAATTAGATCTAGTGCTCCACAGGTCACTGGATCTATGTTTCCTCGAGTCTAGTCCCAGGAGCAGACATGAAGGGCTGAACGCAGAGTGGAAAAGCCCAGGCGTCTGGCTCCCAGCCACTCGCCGTGACTCCAGGTGAATCCCTGGGCGAGCTGCCCACCCCTGCTCAGCAGGCATCATGACGGCTGGGAGAGCTGAGAGATCATCTGTGCAGAGCAACGGCCGCAAACCCGAGCTGTTCTATTGCAAGAAACACTGCACCCCGGGCCCTGATCTTTCCCGAGCTTGAAGAGAGCCGGCCTGAAAGGCTGCCAGCAGGGGACCGCAGTTCTCTTCCGGTGCACACCTTGCTGGTGGGCCCAAGAAACAGAGATCCTTTCAGGTGGAGGGAAAAGCCCAGCTGGCTGACTTTATGTGACGTCACGTCAACAGGCTGCCCCGTGAATGCCTCGTCGCCTACCCTTTCATCGATGAAGCCCTTGGTCAGCAGGCCGCGGATTTTGGAGAGCGTGTCCTCACCAACCGGGCAGTGGTAGCGGCCCCCGGTGAGGGAGGCCAGGTTCCTCAGGAAGGTAACCTCTGCCCTAGGGGAGGACAGAGGACACCGCCTGAGTGCTGGGCACTGTGGGCCCCCTCCTCCACCCCTGCACCTCAGGGGGGCCCACAGCCAGGCCAAGCCTCCTGCCCACCTGCCCACGCAGTTCAGGGACAAGGTGTGCACCTTCACGGCTCTCTTCTCCGCGAGCCTCTCCACTTCACTCAGAATCAGGCTGCAGCTCGTGTCTGGCTTCCCATCTGTCAGGAGGTACAGCCCTTCTACATCATGGAAGCTGAAGGCTTTCTGAAAGGGCACAGAAGTTTGTGGGGGCTAGGAGCAGGAGCAACGGCCATCTGCCTGTGCCCCCACGGCCACCGTGTCCCATCGGATCCCCGACTTGTCCATTAAGAACGAGTTTTCCCTCTCAGCCTGTACAAATTGAGGAAGCTGCTGGGGTTCAGGGAAAAAAGCACAACCCACTTCCTGGCTGGTTAACCCCAAGCAAGTCACTTACCCTCTCTGAGCCTCTGGATCTTCATCTACAAAGCGAGAACAGTGAGCGTCCCTAACTGACTGGGTTGTTGGGTGAAATACGGTCAATTTGAAAGTGCTCTGGGTAACTCTGAAGCATCGTGCACTCGCAGGACAGAGGGTGACACAGTTTCTGCGTGACCACAGGGCTGGACTGGGGTGGGACTTGCCATCAGGGCTTGCAGGATGGAGGTGCTCCCCTGAGCGTGCAGGCTGGTCACCCACTGCATGGCCTGGTGACACGCGTCCTCTGTGGTCTCCACCAGCGTGTCCCGCCATGGCTGTAGACCCTCCGCAAAGCTAAGCAGGTTGAAGCTGGTGTAGGGGAGGACAGTGAAGGGGACACTCTTGGTGAGGGCTGCTCATCACAGAGGCGATCAGGGGTGAGCCCCGACCCCTCCGGGAGGGAGACCACCGAGAATGAGAAAGTGCAGGTTGGAGATTCTGGATGCAGACAGAACAGACCCAAATACTACCTCAGTCACTGACTGGTAATGTGATCTGGAGCGAATAATTTAACCTAAGTCCTGGGACCTCCCTGGTGGCACAGGGGTTAAAGTGCAGCACTATGAAGCTGTCTAGCCACTGCAGCATGAGTTCGATCCCCGGCCAGGGAGCTGACCCACATGGTCCAGCAGACCTCTCCTGACCCACCTGCTGCTCCCCTCAGCAGTATATTTCAGTCGATCTGCCTGTTCTGCTCCTCAGTCTGTTTCTGGTGAATCTTCTTACCACCCCCATGCCTCTGGCCTGTATCCCAGTTCTGTATGCATAAATAAATAAATATTTAAAAAAATAATTTAACCTAAGTCCTAATTTCTTTTCTGGAAAGTTGGGAGACTGCCTCATAGGGTCATCGGGAGGACTGAAAGAAATTGTGGTGTAAGTCATGTTGACACACAGAAAGGGCTTGATAAATGTTCATTCTTACTAACATTAAGACCAGAATGAATCACAACTTAGTCCCCCCTAGGGGGACACAGGACACTCTGGTCCGGTGGAGAGATCAACCCCCTCCCACCCCCCTCACGCTCCCCGAAGTTCAGCTGAAATCTACAACAGAAGGCCTAACACTGACTTCTAAAAATGGCTTTATTCTGCAGCAGAGCAGAAAACTGTTCTTTTTTGCACAGATACGTCACTCAGAAGAGCATTTAGGAAAACTCCAGACCCTCTGGAACTGGGAGGAGGCAACACCCTAGGCCAGGGAAGCCCCGAAACTACTCCTTGACCCACCTGCCCTCACCTGTCACAGTGCTTCCGCAGCTGCTCCCAAATCAGCAGAATCAGCTCCGTCTTCACCTGCTGCAGGTGGGGGCCCATGGACCCTGACGTGTCCAGCATGATGCACACTCTGCTCTCCAGCACCGTGCCAAAGAGGCGGCGACTTCCTGCTCAGAGGTGGGTGGGGCAGAGGCAGCCACAGGAGGGTCACCTCCGCGGGGTCATCAAATACCAGAAACGGAGATGACTCTTGTCATGATGGTGGAGGGGTCGATTGTCCCAGGGCGGGGCTATCAGGGCTTTGGGCTCTGGGCAACTGGGGTTTCAGTCGTGGCTGTGCCTGTGACGACTTGCACAGCAGTTACGACCTCCCTGGGCTGGGTTTCATCAGCTCTAAAGATAAGAGACTGTTGTGCCTAGATTTTAAATCCCACAAGCCATCAGAGAGACGATCCGATGCAAAGGCATGAGGGTTTTTATTGGCAAGCTCGAGCCTGGACTCTAGACTCCTCCGACACGGCGGTGGTGGTCAAGAGCCCCGAGCGTCCTTTACACAGGGTTTTTGAAGTTTCCATTATGCTGGTTCACAATACTCAGATTGGTTGAGGGCAGCACTTTATGGTGGGCTTCAGCATTCGGATTGGCTGAGGGCATCACCTTAAGGTGGGCTGCAGTACTCGGATTGGCCAAGGTGATGAGGTCTCATGCTAACTCGCAGTACTCAGATTGGTTGGGGAACATCACCTTACGGTGGGGTACAGTCCTTGGATTGGCTGGGGTGATCACCATATGGTGGGTTGACACTTGATTAATCATAGCCAAGTGGTCTGGGGGGTGGGATGGGGATGCCTCTCCAAAGTTTCAGGAAACTGAGACCTTAGGCCTGGTCTGGACCTGAAGCCTGTCATGGCAGAGACTTATGTTCTTTCAAGACCACGCTAAATAGTGCCACTGTACTGACAGAGGCTAGAAAGGATATTAGGGAGCAGAGTCCTTCAGCTGGCCAAGAGAGAGCAAGTACATCCCCCAGGGCCATCCGCTGGGGGGAAAATAATGGCAGAGGAGGGAGGACCCCGGGTTCACCGAGTTACAGCTCTGTGGGTTGTGACGTGTTATGGGGAGATTGTGAATTAGATGGGTGTAAGGTGGGGAACAGACAAGCTACGGCTGAAGGATGAGTGGGAGTCACCCAAGGAAAGAGGACCAGCTCTGAAAAGGCTCTGGGAGGGGGAGGAGAAGCCGGCATGCTGGGGGAACCAGCGGCACTGGCATGGAGAGACTCAGCGGCAGAGGAAAAGGCGGTCAAGCTGGAGGGATTATTCAAGGATTCGGGATTTATCCCAAGGGAAAGCAGAGTGGACCAGACTCTTGCAGTGATGGAAGCATTCCATTCACACACAGGCCCTTTGAGCCATTCGTTATCCCAGCAGCTGCTAAACTCAGCGCTGCTGGCTCCACACGCTAATACAGAGTTAACACATTATGATGAGCTACGAATATTAACAGAGGGAACCGCGAGGAAAGCTGGCCAGGAAGGCCTGTAGGGGGCGCACTCACGCAGTATCACTCCGTCGTAGGTAGACATCTGCCTGCTGTACCCCTCACAGGAAGGTGCATACTGGCCCCTCCGAACAGGAAGGAGTCTGCCCACTGCCCCCAAAGGAAGGCCCATGCCGCCCAGCAACGTGTCCACCAATGAGGGGTACCACAGGCCAGCCAATGAGAACCCGCCCGCACGCCCACTCTACTCCCAACTCTCCCCCTATGCTCCGGATTTACCTGCCATCAGTCAGAGCCTACATTTCCCAAATTGCCATTCCTCTCACTATTCCAAAACAAACTCATTTTTGCTAGTGAAATAACTGGCTGCTTTGATTTAAAGTGATAGAAGGAACCCAGGTGAAGTGCCAGCATGCTTCCGCTGTACTTGGGTCTCCTTGGAGAGGACTGGACCTAGCCCGACCCAATCCACAGGCCCCCATGGTCCACACAGAGACCTCCATAGAAAGCTCCCTCCTTCTTCCTCCTGTCTTCCCAGGATCCCTTTAGGCCGCAAAGCCTAAGCACCCTCCCATCCAGTTCTCACTCTCTGCTCAGCCTCTGGGACTTCATGCTCCAGACCACTCCTTCACCCCCAGCCCTCCCTCCTCTGGCCGGAGTCTGAGCAGCTCAATCCCTCCCTCCATCTCTCCTGGAGGGCCACTGCTCTCTCTCCCTGTAAAGAATAGAAGTTTCTCTATCACACCCTCCAGTCCCTACCCTGTGGACCAGTTCTACTGGCCCCCTCGAAAGTGAGCCTCTCCGTCACAGCCAGCAAGACCAGGTCTGGGAGATGAGCCTGCAGGCCAATGTGGACAGGACTCTGCCCGGGTGTTCTGTGACCCATGGTCGCACTCCTTGTCAGCCAACCCCTTGCCTGGCCTCTGAGCCCAGCAGTCCTGTTGAGCATGGATGACATTCCTGGCTTCATCTCTGCCCTGAGAGTTTGTGAGTGTCTGGCCTGGGAGGACTGATCCTGGGCTCCCCAGGGCTGACCTTCCACTGCCCCACATTCCCCTCCCCCCAGACATGAGGCAGGCTCACCGGACAACAGCCACTGCAGCCGCTGGACGTAACGTCTCATCAGCTTCTCCAGACAGGTGATGTACACTTCGACCTCCCTGGGCGTCCACTGAATGTGTCTCACTACGCCCTGGATTATGGCGCATGAGGTAGAATTTCCCTCATCAGCTATCGCTTCGCATCCCTGTCACCCCCTAAAATGCTTTAATTCATTGCATTTCATAATTCCCAAAACATCTGGTAGGCATACAATTTTGTAGGTGTAAAGCGTCTCTTTCTTTTATAAACGACAGGATTGATGGTCTAGGAAGGAGTGAGGGAATTGAGATGATGGTTTTGCGGCAAACATAGTCACTATAATTTTAGATAATGTAGTATGTCTAAATTTTAAAATTGAAAACCTTTAATGGAAGGATGGGAGACCCCACGCATTCCAAACTAAAGATGACCTTGGACAGACAGTGGAGCGGCGTGACTAAATTATCATAAAACTCTTCTGGTGCTAAAATTATCATAAAACTCTTCTGGTGAATAATTTTGAATTTCATAGCTATTTTTAGCTTTCTGAAATCCCTAATGTTGAATAAAAGGGCAAGGAGAGAAAATGGGATTCAATTTCCATTTTGTGACTAACTTTTGAACTAACTTTACTTGCTCTGGCGTCAAAGCAATAAAAAAAAAAAAAAAAACCAAAGAAACCATTATCCCCAACATCAACATTATCCCCAAACTAGAAAATAGAGAACGCTTCACCTTCTGTCTTCACCCCTGGCCCCCCACCATCCAGACGACCTGGCAGAAGACCAGGTGACTACTTTAGTTTCGTCTTTGTTCTCGCCAACAGTTTATAATTCTCATGCCAATGGGCTCCCCTGTCTAACTCTGGAATGTGGTGTCAGGCACGCCCAGGGGCTGACTTCCTTCTTTCCACCAGAATTCTGTACCCCCTGGTTCTTGAGAGCCATCCCTTGGGTTCTTAAAAGGAAGAATAGAAGCCATGTGCACACATTCACAGGGGGTCTCCCCAGCACTCTTGTCTTTTGTGACTGAGAAGAAGCGAGAGTTAGGGGAGAGGGAAAAGACAGTAATAAAACCCGTGACTTACATTGATCTCTATGCTGGGCCAGAGGCTGCAGTATTTGGTAGGTGCTGACCTCTGAATCGAGTTCTGATGGGTACAATTGGGGCCAATGTATCTGGAGATCTCCATCTTCAGTTTTTTTAGTCCATATTTTGCTACCCACTTTAGAATAAAGGAAAAAGCTATTATTTGGGGCAGCTGAATGCTTATCTCACCCATCAATGAAAACCTCAAGCTTGAAATCTGTTCGCGTTTGTAATGTGGGTTCCTAGTTTGCACTAAGAACATCTGTCACATGTAGATTCCTCCCCGGGTGCTGGGGAGAGATACACAAGAAGTGCAGAGAACAGAGAGCATTTATTGAGGTCCTGCCACTCCCCAATTTAGTGGGCAGTGTCACCCCGACCCCAGATTCATTTCAACCCCTCCCACAAAATCTTAGTAGAGATCAATGATTGGGTGGTGCAAGGGGTTAAGTGTCAGCACTATGAAGCCATCACAGCCACTGTAGCACAGGTTTGATCCCCAGTCAGGGAGCTGACCCACATGGCGCAGCAGACCTCTCCTGTCTCTCCTACTGCTCCCCTCAGCAAAGTATTTCTGTCGATCTGCCTGTTCTGCTCCCCACCCTGTCTCTGGTGAATCCGCTCATCCCTTGTACCTTTGGCCTATACCCCAGTTCTTGTACGCATACATAAGTAAATCTTGGAAAAAAAGTTCAGACTCTAAGCCAATTAGATAATCTCATTCTCCTTGTCATGATGACAAGAAGGCACAAGAATGGGTGGGCCTAAAGCCGAAGGAGCACAGCCCGGTACTCACCCCACAGAAGCACACTCAGGTGCTCCTGAATGGCTTTGGGAAGAAAGATGTTCTCACTTCTGGATATGTCTCTATTGCTTGCAACCAAAAGCATCTAACACCAGTAAGTACACCACAACGTACTTCTATTATTCATCAGTCCCAGAGGTAATGTAATTGCCTTGGTTTTACAAACAAAGGTATTGAGATGAGTGTAGTTAAGCAACTTGCCCAGGGTCACCCTGCTGGGAAGCATCAACTGGATTTGGGACCTAAACCTATTTAGGCCACATTAGGTGGTCATTCTGAATAGGTTTGTTCTCCAGCCGCCCTCCTAGATAATGGTTGGCGGAAGGAATCATTGGTGGCTTTTGCTGGTTGCAGAAAACTTCATACCTCTTGGCTTGAGCAGATGATATCCTTTCTGGGCAACTCGATAGAAGAGGTAGTTCTTCTTATGCGCTTTCCATGAGGGTACTTCTTGTACACTGACCCTGGGCAGAGACAGAGCAAGGTTACTTGGGCACCCTCTACCACTCCGTTTTCTAGTCACTTTCTCTATCAACCAAGTTAAGGAATTGGAAAATTGGTGGCTATTAGGTTGATCAAGGGACGGGTCTTGGGATCTCCCTTCTCACATAGCAGTGAGTTGTTTCTGGGACCTGCATTATGTCACAGCCATCAGTCAGGTCCCAATTCTGCCTGGGGTGGGGGAGTAGAGTGGGTGAAGATACTGCCCCTAGTGGCTGGAGTGGGAAGTACCATGCCCAGACTCCCCAGAGATTTTCAGTGTTGACTCTGGTTCCCTGATGCTCTTTCTCTTAACTTGTCAAGACTTTGCATGTCCCTTTCCCTGGACTGGAAAACCTGCTTGAAGGCACTGCTGCCTGTGTCCTGGGACAGCTGGAGGCCAGGGTCTTTCCCATGGGGCCTGTTGACTTACAGTTCCAATGGGACCAAGGACAGTCAGACATTTGTGTAGCTTCCAACTTACCCACATTATTCCCTGTCTCTGTATAAAACAGGGAGAGAGAAATCTTTTCCTCCCTGGATTTGCTCTTCCTCTTCTGTCCTGGAGTCCCTCCTTTCACTGACTGGACAGCAACTAGAGGACATTGGTCAGTTTGTTAGGGGGAAAGGATGTCCTGAACAAACTCTACAGATACAGGTTCTGTGGACTCCACCCCCACTCCAGACACCAGAACTACAAATTCCATCGTCACTAAGGAGAGGATTGCTGGAACCCAAGGGTGGAGTTAAGCAGCCAAGTTTGGGATAAACTAGATATGTTGGGCACCCCTTGGTCTTTCAGTCTGTGGCTTGTCTCTTGGCTTTTTGTCAGCTCTTGGGGTTCCAGGTCAGCAGAACTGGTAGGATGCATTAACCAACTTATCTCTCTCTCTTTTTTTCCCTGAGTTATTTATTTCCCTTTCTCTTGTAAATCAACCCATTATTAACCTTTTGTGTGTGCTTCCAGTTGAATCTTATGACAAGTCCCTTTCAAGTGCACGGGTGAGGGCCCACAGTCCGGCAACCTAATTCACACTGGGGTTTCCTTGTAGCAAGTTGGCTGGAGTAAGTGCTATTTGTGCCATCTCCCCTGTCCTCACAGACTCCCAGTTACAGAGGAAGCAATGGGACTCAGCATCAGTTAGAAGGAGAGTGAAGACTCCACAGGGGTCTTGTGACTCTTGAACTCCATTCGGAACCATTCTGCTACATCTTTGTCATTATTAAGATACATGATCTTAGATTTTATAAGGAAAAAGCACTTACATAAAAATACACATGCCTGGTGACAGTCAAAATGGGAATTAATAAATTAGTAAACGGTCACAAAGGATTGATTGTTGTGAGCTTTAAAGCAACTCTTTGAGCAGACGGGCCGATAGTGTTATATCATTATTGTTCCATGCCTCAGCCCCCACCCCAGGCCTGACCATGGCCTTGACTTACCTGGTGGGGTGCCTGCTTTACTGCTGAGTGGACGCCATGCCCAGCCCTTCGAGGCGGGGCTCTTCGCTCTGTCAGGGTCATCTTTTATGCTCTAGAAAAGAGGCCGCCTGTCCTGTCAGTGGCCTGTTAGTCTGTGGTGGGCTGGACCCTGGTCACCCCAGCCTCAATCTATCAGTAGAAGCCCTGAGGGAGGGTCTAAGGGGTGGGGCCTCAGATATGTTTGCTCCTTTCTTGCAGCAGATTCTGAGGAGACCGGATTTTGACGTGAAATGTCTGTGGGGGTGGTGGGGTATGAGCGACAAAGCATGCTAGAGCAGATATGGGAGTTTGCCATAACTTTCTGCATCAGTTACCTAACCCCCTACCTCTGGGGTGGGGTTTCTGGGACTCCAGCATGACAGACAATCCAGGTGACATCTATGCCTAACTGGTACCTCAGCTCTAAGAGGGGAGTTCATCCATTGCTGGGCACAATGTGGTGATCATTACAGGGGGTCACCCAGGGCCCTGGACTGGCTGAGGAGAACTCTGGGTGAGCTGCCACTCTAGGCCACCTCACCCACCCAGCACTCTGGTTTCAGGAGGCTGCTACAGGCCTTGGCAAGACTGAAGCCCTTTATAGCAAGTCAGTTTGGGCCCAAGAGGCAGATCCAGGATGCCAGAGTGTCACCCCAGAAGGTGGGATGGCAGGAGAGGGCAAGGTTCTGGGCTGACTCCTGACACCTGTTCTTTGAATTAGGGCAGTGGCTGTGTGGAATCTTCCAAAATATAGCCCACTGGATAAGAGTAAGTCACTCTAAAAATGGGCTATGTTCACAGGACCTGTCAGAGTGAAATGCTGAAGGGCTCACTGATCTTATTGCCTCTTTTATTCACAAGGCCAGTGGCGTCTGGAACCTTCCCCCAGTCACACCTCTAGGGGTTTCTTCTCATTGCTGAGATGGGGGCTCTGTCATGAGTAAGCCCACCCTCACTTCTCTCAGGGTAAGCTTTGGGCAGCAGCAGCAAAAACTGGAAAGATATCCCTCTCCTCTAAGGCCTCTGTCCCAGAGGCCCTCCAGGCCAAGGCCTCCTGGCCTAAGGCCAAGGTAAATGCTGTTCCATGGAGTCCTTACTACATGCTGGGGGCAAGTGGGGTCAGCCAGGCAGGGCGACAGGTGTGTGCAGGACAAGGCACAGGATCCTGGGGGTGAGAAACCGCTCTCCTAGGGCATCTGTGGACATGTGTCCCTAAGGAGCCTGACCCCGTCCCCGCTGCCCTGGGCCCGAGGGCCTGGCCTTGGCCATTTCAAGAACTAGGAAAGAGCAGGACACACACGGAAACAAAATTCTCTGCATATTATTAGGGAAGGGAGTCAAACCACTCTGGTCACCGAGGGGGCCGTGGCCTTGGGAGGACAGGCTCTCTTGGGCTGATTTCTCTGCTTGAGTGGCTTGGGCGTTTCTTTCTGGATGGTTGCACTTTCTGGGTCTTTTCCAGACTGGTTCTTCAGAGAGGACAATAGTAAGGCACACTGCAATGGGGACCAGAGGTTAGCACACCCCGGCGTGGTTTGCCTCCAAGCAGGGCGTGGGCGGGCACACACACACGCCCACACAGTGAGCAGGAAAGACTGGGTCCGCTGGGGCCTCTGGACTCTTTTTTCTGTCCCTGGAATACTTCCCAGGTCTGCCAGTGCCCTGGGTTTATGCTGTTAACAATGAATACCATGTCCAGAGGGCCTGAGATGCAGCAGGCACTGGGCTAGTGGGTCGAGGGGCTGGAAGAGATCTCAAGCTCTTAGGTCACCCCCCAAACACCACCTATGTGGGTTGGGCAAGTGGTATCTCATCTCCACTGTGCAGACAAGGAAAGCCCAGGTCCTCGAGTTTCAGGGCCTTCCCAAGGCTACACTGCAGACAGGGCTCTAGGCCAGCCTCTTTCCACAGTGGGTGGGGCCCAGGGCTGACTCAGGCTGGCAGAATGGTGGTGCAAGGCTTGGCTCCTTGGCCTCCGCCTACCTCAGCCGCCCAAAAGTTCACTCATTTCTCCCAATCAGCACCAGAAGGCACCACCCAATCTGATAACGTGCTGGGAAGGGCGGGCCGAACCGCTACTTCCCTTTAAGGCCATGACTGAGTTGATCAGATGGGGGACCAGCACTGATGGGGGGGGCTGAGGAGAGGGGGTAGACAAGAGGGACCTTTTGGGGGGCTTTCCCATGGGGGAGAGTTGACTTGTGGATGTGGGGGAGGGTGCTGTTGATGTGGGGCTCCTCCTGGGAGGAGGAGCCTGCAAGCGTTGAGCCGCCTGCAAGCGTTGGCATTTAGCAAGTGAGGACCCTAAGTTCTGTCCCAGCCTCCCTTGCCGTGGCTCTCTGTCCATCTCCAGGGCTTGAGCTGCCCTGGACAGCACGCTCTGGCTCTACGTTCCCGCTGCCTGCAGGAACCCCAGTGCATCATGCACAGGCCGGTATCCACACCTTGGTCTTAGGCCCCCTCCCCTGCACCCCCATGGCGCATCGTGTCTCTCTTGGTCAATGACACCACTGTCCACCAGGACCCCAGCAGGGGCCGTGGGAGATACTCTGGGGTTTCTCCTTCTCACCCCGGCTATTCAACCAGCTGCAAGTCTGGCCAATTCCTCCTTCAATGTATACGTTTCTATTCCCTTAGTTCCATTTTCATCACTCCCGGGGCCACCCGGCGGCACCATTACAGAACCAGTACAGTCATTCAGCCTGCCCAGGACATACCTTCTGGGCGTAGTTGAGAGCCTTTTCCAGCTCAGACGTGAGGGCGCTGATGTCGTCGCTTTCGTAGATGCCTGGAAACAGAAGCACGGAGCATGGGGAGGGGCGTGGGCGCTGGCAAGCGTCCCTGAGTGCAGGCAGGAGGGGGTGAGGAGGTGACCCAAGCCAGAGGGGATCACTGGGCTGAGATGACCACACCGTCCACTGGTGGGGGGGACAGACAGGTACAGTGAGGTCTCCACCTGCAAGGTGCGCTGGCCTTGTACACAGAGCCAGACACCAAGTCAAGAGCTCTCCCCACCAGGCCAGAGGTCCTGCTGTTCTGGTGAACACACAGACTCACTGGGGACATTTAGTGGCCAAGGACTCTAGTGACTGCTGGCGACTCGTTTGAGGCGGGTGGGAGTGCGAGAGCCAAGAAGGCAGACTCTGAAGCAGGTCTGCCACTCCTGTCTACCCCTACAGCCGTTGGGCTTTGAGCTTCTTGTCTTAGCTTCCTATTTGTGAAAAGGGGTGATAATAGCCCACTCATGGAGTTATTGTGAAGAGTGAATCATTTTATATGGAAACGCTTAGACCCACGTGTGACACGTAATAGCTCCTCTGTAAGTATTGCTTAGTGGCAACCCTGTAAAAGCTTAGATATTCATGTACACTCTTTTTCACGGGAAGAGCTGGGGAATAGGGACCCAGAGTGCCAGCTGCAGAGACACCACAAGCTCAGCAGTCCCTCTTCCCCCTGGGGGCCTCTCACCCCTGCAGATCAGGGATTGGAAGGCACCGTGTGTCCTAAGTCTCTATCAGTCTCACCTGCTTCCTGATTTTGCCCTATCTGCATATCATTATTTACTGAACATTTATTTTTAATCAACTTGCTTTCATTTACGTAAAGGTAAACATGTATGGGCCCTCCCTGGTGGCGCAGCGGGTTACAGCACAGCACTAAGAAGCTAAAGCCTTTTCAGCATGAGTTCGATCCCTGCCCCAGAGCTGACCCACATGGCGCGGCAGACCTCTCCTGACCCACCCACTGCTCAGCAATGTACTTTGTCGATCTGCCTGTTCTGCTCCCCATTCTGTCTCTCGTGAATCCTCTCACTGTCCCTGCACCTCTGGCCTGTAAATAAAATCTTTTTAATGAAGAAAGTATACATGTATTTTTAAAATTGAGATAAAGTGATATACATTATATTAGTTTCAGATGTACAACATACTGTTTTGACATTTGTATATCTTGTAGAATCAGCATGACACATTTAATTAGCATCTGAAAATTATATTTGAAAACAAAATTTATGTCACTGCTGACAATGGAAAGTTAGCACTTAAAAAATTGAAATGCTAAGCGAGCATACAACTACTTAGGGGAGGACAAATATTTTCCTCTACCCTCTTAGATTTTCCAACAGAGGCTTTGGAAATTAAACGGAGAAAGGACAGATTAGGAAGAGAAAAACAAACAGATTTATTAATGTGGGCAGCTATTTATTAATGTGGGGATTCAGCATGAGTATCTGGACAGGCATATAATTACTATTATTTTTCAATATTTCTTTTCTTTCTATATGTTTAATTTTTTATAGAAGATTTGGGGTGTAGGCCAGAATTGTTTAGGGTAGTGAGAGGAACCACCAGAGACAGAATAGGGAGCGGAACTGAAATCTACTGCTGGGGGGAACAGCGGGGAGACGGGAGAGGTCTGCCACACCATGCAGGCAGCTCCCTGGCCAGGGATCGAACTCAGGTCCCTGCGGTGGACCTTTGAGGTGGTGGTGCTGAGACTTAATCACTAGGCCATCAGGGAGACACCTTAGAACTCTGAGATTCAATGGCATTTTAAAAAGAACAACATATTTGCAGAGCAGTGATAAGAGAGGTTATTAGGGAAGGCAAACACATGGTGAACTTCACTGAGAGAGAGTCTTAGTAAGGTTCGTGACGGAATAGCCTCCAGGCTTGCCCAGTGAGAGCCTGGAGTCGTCTCTACTGATTCAGAATCATCTCTCCCAGGCACAGCAGAGGGAGGCACCATTACAGAAGAAAATCTGTGCCCTGCTTTTGGCTTTTGCTGTTTCTCAGCTGCCTTCAGTTTCAAAGTGATCCTTATGCCAAAGGTGCATATTCTGGGGTGGCATATCCTGATCCCCAACACTATCACCATAAAAATAGTGTTGCACCGTGTTCAATGCGCAGCTCTCGTGCCAACCACCTGCTGTGAACACCACCTTCTGGAAAACACTGAACTAGTGCAGCTTTGGGTCCCTTTCTGCTGTGACTTTCTAAACTATGTTTTTAAGTACTTTGACTTTTCTTTCTTACTTACTTAAAAAAGAACAAAAAGCCATGGTAAGAATACAAACCACAAGGGCCCTCCCTGGTGGCGCAGCGGGTTAAAGC